CCCCAAAACCCCAAAACCCCAAAACCCCAAAACCCCTTCAATTAAAATAAGGGGAAATAAGGAAAATAGAAAATAAAAGGCTGAATTGTATTGGCTCCTATTATAAATGATTTTTAATATTTTAAGTTAGAATTCAAATTTACGCCTATTTCTCTCAATTTTATTGCTCTGCCTAGCTAACCCAGCTTTTCTAGCATATCATAGATATTAAGATGGGGCTCTGGTGTTAAATAATGATAATTTTGATGAAGAAGTGTCCTCTCATGATCAAATACTAGTCTATTTTTATACAAAATAATGGTAATTCCTCATTGATTTGACAATATGATGTATAGTTATGATTGCAAAGTGTTTGGAAATGAATTCGCAAAAGCAGCTATAAAGCTAAAACAATAAAACCCTTCTTTTGTACTGGCCAAGATAGATGCTTAAGAACAAGGATATATTGCCGAGAGATTTGGAGTTCAGAAATATCCTCATCTAATATTTTTCAAGTAAATAAATGATTTTAGATTAACTTCTAGAGAAGGAGTCTAACTAGAATATGATGGTGGCAAATCAGAAGGAGATATAATCAGTTGGTTCCTAAAGAAATCAAGCACATATGCCCCAGAAATTACATGTCCTCAAATAAAGGATAAGATCCAAGAGCATAGGCTTATCACGATATTTTTTGGAGATCAGTACAGCTTTGAGTTCAATAAGATATTCCAAGAACTGCTATAGTATCAAGTGCTGGCTAAAAAATATGCATTCTTTCATCTAAACGACTAAAATTGTGCGAAATATTATGGCATCTCTTAAATTCCTAAACTTGTGATATTCAATCAATAAATGCAAAACAATAAGCCCATATTATATGAAGGTGTTTGGGATCTCAACCCTGTAATCTAATTTATGCATGAAAATTCTATCCTGTAAATTATGGAATTCGGAGAAGAACATATTGAAATTGTATTTAGTGATCAAAAGCCTTCAATAATTTTATTCAGAGGATAAAATTAGAAGAATTTTGCATTCAATAAGGTATTTAGCGATTTGTCCTATAAGTATAAAGAACAAATGTACTTTGTAATGGCTGATGTGACCCAGCCTGGTATCTAGCATAGGCTAGGCGATTTTATGAATGTATTAGGGGATATATAACCTTGTATTAGAATTTTAGACCCTTCATAAAACTTTAGAAAATATGCCTATCCTACTATACTGACAGATTTAAGCGTTGAAAAATTAACTAAATTCGTAGATGAATTCTTATAAAAATCAATGATTCCACATTATAAAAGCTAATCTGCTCCATCTAGTAATTCTGGCCCAGTAAAAACTATTGTTGAATCAACTTTTTAGTAAGAGGTTATTGATCATGACAGAGATATAATCCTATTGGTATATTCTACTTAGTATCCATAATATCAATAAGCCTTATAGTTATGGAATTAGTTTGGATAGGAATTGAGAGTGGTAAGAAATTTGATAGTAGCTCAGATTGATGTATACTTAAATGATATTCATCATTATGTGGATGTGACAGCCCTCCCGCAAATAAAAATCTTTCCAAAAGGAAAGAAGCATTAAGGAATTGACTATCATGGAAAAATGAATAGTATTGAAGATTTTAGGCTATTTTTGTAAGATAATTCAAGAGCATATAGAGAATATCTTCATTTGGAGTACATTAGAAACAATCCTTCTGACTTATGATAAATATAGAAAATATTGAGTTCAAATTTATAAATATCTCTGCTTTTGCTATTTAATTTATGTTAAACTGAATTTGAACTTGAATTGATAGTGAGGGGTTTTGGGGTTTTGGGGTTTTGGGG